TCCTGAAAATCCTATACATGTGACAAGCAAATTCAATGAAAGCTCACGAAGATTTGAACGATAAATCAAATAAAAAAAATACAGTAGATCTACTAATAAGTCTTGTGAATCGATAGTAAAACGCAACACTAGTGAAATCAAAAGCACAATTAGATTAGAAAAATGTTTCGAATTCAGCTAGAAAATACCACATCAATGTATGTATAGGTCTCGTATGAATAGAGAGAGAGAGAGAGAGAAAGAGAGAGAGAGAGAGAGAGAGAGAGAGAGAGAGAGAGAGAGACCTTGTATTGAGAATCTACAATGGAGCTTCGAACTTTGATCCGTAGAGAGGGAAAGCGAGCGAGAGACTGAGTGAGTGAGTGAGAGATTAGGGCTAAAAAATGTGTATATTATTTCTCTCAGAGTAGACATTTTAAGGCATTTTTAAATGCCTTGTATTATCAAAACGACAACGTTTTAATTTTTTTTTTTAAAAGTGACATTTAAAAAACGTCGTTAAATATTATAAAAAGTGAAGTTTAAAAAACGCCGTTAAATAATCGTCGTCAAAACCCCCATTTCCTATAGTGGCATCTTGTTAACCAATCTTGCTTTTGGCTCATCTTTGGGCTTTGGTGTGCACATTATGAACTAGGTTTTATGTGTCAACATAATTGAAATGCGTTTTTTGATGATGATGCAATTAGTCACCTTTGCCTAGTTGTATTAATGTTTTCACTATGTACTTTGTACTTTTGTTCGTCGTTAATAAAAGTTTCTTTGCTAAGCAACATTAAAAAAATATATGCACACATATAGATATAGGGTAAATTGTAGTTTATCCGCCTTAAATTATAACTCATTATAGTTTTATCCTTTCAACTTTGAACTATTAATTTGTATTAATATGAATCTTAAGTTAAGGATCTGTTATATAAAAATTGACATTTATCTTGTACAAAATATCTCAAATATTATGAAATGTTTAAAATAATTTTATTTCTATCTTCTCATTCTTTTCTATTTTTTTAACACTCATTTCTCTTATTCATGTAAGCAGACATGATTGCCTACACTAGTGTTGTCATAGTTGCTGCCGTGCGGTGAGTAGAAGAAAAGAATGAAAAAGAAAAAGGAAATAAGGTCAGTCGAGACATTTCCCAATATTTGAAATGTCATATTATGTGAAAATAATATATCAAATTTTCATCAATTTACGTATCGAATCCTTAATAAAAAAGTGTACATTAATACGAATTAATAGTTCAAGATCACAAAATATAATGTTTATAGCTTAGTGAAAAGTCTTTAAATTTGAAAGTTGGTGTAAGCAGGTTGACGAATCCAAAGGGAGTTGTTGGGAGTTAGAGAAAGACATCTTAACAATCTCCCTCTGATCAAGCTTGTGTTGTGTTGGATGCATGATCGGAATTGGAGTTGCATAAAATATTATTGTCTCTTCCAAAGGACTACGTGTCTTCCTTTACTTATTTATTTTTATTTTATATCAATTAACTTTGTTTTTTGGTTTCAATATATATACGTGCATATAAAACACACACACACATATTTAAATTTCCGTAGTGTTGGACAGCTCTAGAAGTAGAGTGGGTTTTTTTTTGAACTCGACAAAGTAGAGTGGTTAAAGGAGAACTATCAAACAATAATACAGTGTCACAAGCTCTTCACATCCCCAGTTGAGATATATGCATAGTTTTCAACTCTCTCTCTCTCTCTCTCTCTCTATCTCTCTCTCTCTCTCTCACACACACACACACACACATAGTATTATTAATTTCATTTTTATTTCTAAATTATTGTCTTTTTTTTGTTCCCTTCTATTTCATTTAAAAATTTATCTGTTTAGTTCATAAAATCTATTACGTTAGTTCCTATAGTGTAATTGAAAATCCAGGTCCAAACCAATAACGACAGAAAGTTAACCTTTTTTTTTGATAACCGAGTGTCTGGGACAGCACCCCTTCGGAGTGTCACACATCGACTAATCTCGACACCCTGAGCTAATTGACCGGGCAAAGATGCAGTGGCCCGCCAATAGCCAGCTGGGGGTGGGATTCGAACCTGAGACCTAGTGAGAAGCATACTCCTAGGTCTCTGGTCCCTTGCCCTCAACCAACTGAGCTATCTTGCAGGTTAACAGAAAGTTAACTTAATGGGTAAAAATATAATTTTATAATTTCGATAACTGAAACATATAATCAAATATTCATCTTCTTCATCCCTTCCCATCTTTATTCTCTCCTTTTCCCCACCGTCACTAAAGTTGTTCAAAATTAAAAAAAAAATTATTTTTTTTCCGCCCTAGGTTTCAATGATTTCTTGATTTGAGCAACCTTGTCCAATTGGACTATCTGAGCTAAAATAAAAAAGAAAAAGAAAAAACTCTAATACACTAAATAGATATAATTGATAATTTAGAAATGAAATAGAAAAAAAAAGAAAAAAGGATGAATTACAAATACACCCCTTGAGGCTTGTTTAAAATTCGAATAATCCCCTGTGGTTCTGAAAATTACATTCCAACCCCTGAGGTTTATAATTTCATAATAAATGATCCCTTTTATTAATAAATCATCAACTCAATTAATAGTATTTAATGATGTCATAAATATATTTCAATTAGCAATTCATATAATTTTATTATTGTATAGGAAAACAATTATGAATTTTAAATTTTTTAATTAATTCTGTTAAATAAAAAATCTGACAAAGGGGTATTTGTAATTATTTAAACCACAAGAGACAATTCGTATTTTAAACAAATCTCAGAGAGTGTATTTGTAATTTACTTTAAAAAAAAAACAATGATCTAGGAGATAAAAATAAATTAACCATATCATATACAATGCTGAAAATATATATTCAAACAATAGTCATACCCCTCTAACAAGATTTGGAACTTCTTCTGCATATCTAACCAAAATCTTTTGAACTTATTTTGTTAAGATTTTAGGTTCTTTGAAAAATGAGGCCATATGATTATGTTGAGTCAATGATTAGGTAACATTTAAGTAAGCAATAGGAAAGCTGAAAAACATTCGGAAATCCACAACCACCATGCACGAAGGCTGTCAATTATTTGTCATATGGATTAATTAACATGTCCCCATCCGTGGCCAAATATAAGTAATTTGGAAATTAAATTTAATGGTGATTAGACATAAATTTAACCGAGAATTTGTCACAAATTTTCAGTTTTTTTCATTCCCAAATAATGGGAAATGAGGTTTAGATGTTGCTCGAGAGATTTATAAGAATTGAGAGAGAAATTTCTCAGTTTGTGAAACCGAGAATTTTCTCAATTTTGAAAATTGTGAATTTGGGCTGTAGTTGTAAGTTAAATATGAAACACATACGATTAATTTTGTGGCTAATTGATGTTGTGTCAAACATGTTGAAAATATTACTTGTAAAAGCTATGGAGGTGGCAGTAGCTTAACAGTTTTTGGTTTTGGGGAAATTTTAGAGTTAAGAAAGCGAGAAATTTCTCAATTTTCCTTTATTTAGTTTGTATAGGTTAGTTTCTTTTAATTTCTCATATTCTATTGGTAATGTGGAATTTTACATTTTTTTAAACATGAACTGGTGTCTATAAAACAGGTTTTAATTTTAATTATTTTTTAAAAAATAAAATAGAAATTGTAAAATTTCAAAGATACATTTTTCTTCATTCTATGCTGATTATTAACTGTTGGTTCCAATTTTAATAAAGACTGCATTCCAATTATGTGTTGATTCCAATTTTGTCAATTTACCTTTTTCATTTTATTTTTGCTTTAGTTGTATGGAAAAAAATTAATGTGAGATATGTTGATTTTTTAGCCTTTCATTTTTTTAAAATTTTTTTTTTAGTGACTTTCTAATTTTTTTAACTAAAAAAAAATCTCCCCAAAGCTCAATACAACATGGACAATTTCCACCAGCAAAATCTTCAACAAGATAGATTCCATTTTTTGTTGGGCCGAGCTCACAGTGTAGATCGAAATGGGCTGGTTTAGTCTGATTTGGAAAATGGGCTATGAATAACCCAATACTTAACTCCAAAACCTATAAAATAGGCTTTGATCATGGTCCAACTTCGGATTGTTTGGACAAGTGAGTAAAAAGTCATTTTTTTATTTTTAATTTATTTTGAATTCATATTATCTCTTTATTTTTTTATATATTTTTTTTAAAAAATAAAAAATAAAATAAAAAATCAACTTTTAACCAACTTTTTTAAAAAATCAAAAAATTAACTTTGTAACCTACTACTTCCTGCCAAATACACTGTAGTTTGCGATAGTTTGAAAATTGAGATTTTTTTAAAATCTTTAATTTTTAATAATTTTTTTAATTTTGTAACTTGTTTTACTGACTTGATATTTCAGCCTTTTTTAGGCGGCCAAATGAGGCCTAGCAATTCAACTAGTATCAATGTATCACTCTAATATTGGTTCCCTTACAATAACCATCACTTTTTATCACTTTTTAAATATCATCTTATGTGGTATTAATCATGACCATCACTTTTGATTACATTTTCAACTAGCATAATTACCCGTATTATACACGGATATAAATAAATAATCAAAAATTAATTTTTAAAATTAAATAATATTCTCAAAAATTTTATCTACAATATTTAGCAAAAATATTTAGAATCAATTAAATTTTATTCATTTTTATCACAGTTACATGTAAGAGATTTTTATTATTATTTATTCTTATGTCATTAATTGTGTGCTCTAAATTCTTAATAATAAATATATGTAATAATTTAAGTGGTAAAAATCTATATAATAAGTCACAAAGGTTTTTGAAAAATACATCAAAATGTATGTGAGATACATTTTGATCCAATGGCTGAGATTAATCCCAAGTATCTATATAACAATATATACGTGCCAAATTTGGACCTTTAGATTACTTCAATCCAAGGGCTGAAAATGTCTCTCACCTCACGTGCTCCTCTCTGCTCAAAATCTCTTTCTGTTTCAATTTTCAAATTTTTGAACACACAACCCTCCCCCCCTCTCTCTCTCTCCATCAGAACCCATTCCCTTGCTATAGACCCAACCCCCTTCAATTAGCCACTGCAAAAGGAATGGCTTCCACATTCGAAAGAGTCATCAACATCGCCAGAGACGGACATTTCTCTTCAAATCCCGAAGCCTCGATCTGTCTCGATGACCAGAACGATGTCGAAGACCGATCTCAGGAGGGTTTTGATTCGAGATCGGACTCGATTTTTTGGGTTTCATGAGATTCGAGATCAGATTTTTTGTTTTCATGAGGTGAGGCGCTTCAGATTTTTGTTTTCGGTGAGGCGCTTCACATGCCAGCCCATAGCCACAGAGATCATCAATCGATCATCACAGAGATCATCAAAAGAACGATTCGCAAAATCATTCATCTTCATACCAGCCCTGTGAGTATTGTTGATTTTTCTGTATTAATATATGAGAATTTGATTTTTCTTACACTTTTATGAAGAGTTGGTTGGGTTTCACGAATTTGATTTTGATTTTGGGTTTGGGTTTGGGTTTCGCAAAATCAACCCATTTTCTATCATTTGGTTCTATATTCCTTGCTTATTAAGTGTTTGATAAAATGTTTGGTGTGTCTCTGTTGTTTGAGTTTCTGCTATTACCATTTGGGAATTCAAAAAACAGATATATATATAGTTTTGATCAATAACACTGAGGATATGGTTTTGTATTCCTCTCTTCTCTGCTATTAGTTTTGATCTGCTTTGTTGATATGGTTTTGGCCACTGAGGATATCAGAAAAACAATAACACCATCTTTCGGGAATGGCTTTAAAAAGCCTTGCTGACTTTTCTGCAATTCTGAGGCCTTCATTTTCTTCTTCTTTGGTAGAATAATTTCAATTGCTGTTCAATTTAACCTCAAGTCATGAAAAATTAAAAATGATTAAAAGTTTTTAGTCTCTTATTATTTTATTTTTTAAAATTTAAGTAAAGGTTAAATATTTGATTGATCAAAGAGAAATTTAAATAAGAAATTAATATCTTGATTGAAAGGTAAATATGCATTAAAATTTTCAATATTTTTTTATTTATCTTTTAAATTTATTATATGAACCCTTTTTATAGTATAGATTGAAAATTGAGAATGCAATTATTATTATTAAAAGATAAACAAATCGAATGAAATTTTGAATAACAAGCTTTAGTACCTCCGTCCGACAATCCAATAAAGTTCAATGTGAATTTTGTTTATTTGCTTTCGTATGGTTGTTTTGAAAAATTAGTCAAAAGTTAATTTTTTTATTTTTGTAAAAATACATTAAAAAAAATTAGAGAGGTGATATAATTTAAAAGCAAGTTTTCATATTAGGCCTTACTATATTGTGTACCAAATTCTATTTTTCAACAATCACCCGTTTTCTCTTTTTCTCTTTTCAAATTAAATTTGATAAAAAATGCTTAAAAAATCATTACCAAACCCCTTCATCAATGGTTCAAATTGAAGAAGAGTCATTATTTTATCAAAATATAAACTCATCAAATCTTTTGTTTTAATTTGACAACATTAAATATTTAAAAAGATAATCTTTTTTATTAAATTTGATTCAAAATTTTTGAAAAATAGAGTGAGAAAATAAAAAAAATTGTTAAAAAAATATTAAAATAGTTCATATCAAATCAATTTTTTTTTAAACACAGAATCTAATCATATAAAGATTGCCTCTGATTTTTAGATTGGTTATTAGTTTTATTGTTGTTGAAGCTATGATATGGGTAAAGGTAGAATCTGAGCCTATTACAACTTTTAGCCTTTGAGGACCAGTTGAGGTGGTGTTTTAAATTGTTTCCTAGCTGCTGGAATAGTGGATGTACTCCTCAAAGAATTTATTTTTGTTGTGTGCAGAACAAGAACCATGGCAAAAGATGCAATAGCCCTAATGGATCATTTGGGTTGGAGAAAAGCCCATGTTTTTGGCCATTCAATGGGTTAGTCCATGACTCTTATCTCCATTGAAATTGTTATCTTACTCTTTAACACAAATTTGAACTCATGGATGCATAATGCTGGCTCTAGATTTTATATAATGGGTTGCATACTTATTGTTTATCATGATAATTGAGTTAATTACTTTTAGTTGTCTTATACTTTTAGTTGCATACTTATTTTATATAATCTGTTTTTATTTTGGACGAAACTAGCTCCAATGTTTAATATCTGTAGTTATATTTGTTTCCTGTGTATCTTTTGTGATTAATTTTATGATTAGTTTTATTGTTGTTGAAGCTATGATATGGGTAAAGGTAGAATCTGAGCCTATTACAACTTTTAGCCTTTGAGGACCAGTTGAGGTGGTGTTTTAAATTGTTTCCTAGCTGCTGGAATAGTGGATGTACTCCTCAAAGTATTTATTTTTGTTGTGTGCAGAACAAGAACCATGGCAAAAGATGCAATAGCCCTAATGGATCATTTGGGTTGGAGAAAAGCCCATGTTTTTGGCCATTCAATGGGTTAGTCCATGACTCTTATCTCCATTGAAATTGTTATCTTACTCTTTAACACAAATTTGAACTCATGGATGCATAATGCTGGCTCTAGATTTTATATAATGGGTTGCATACTTATTGTTTATCATGATAATTGAGTTAATTACTTTTAGTTGTCTTATACTTTTAGTTGCATACTTATTTTATATAATCTATTTTTATTTTGGATGAAACTAGCTCCAATATTTAATATCTGTAGTTATATTTGTTTCCCGTGTATCTTTTGTGATTAATTTTATGATTAGTTTTATTGTTGTTGAAACTATGATATGGGTAAAGGTAGAATCTGAGCCTATTACAACTTTTAGCCTTTGAGGACCAGTTGAGGTGGTGTTTTAAATTGTTTTCTAGCTGCTGGAATAGTGGATGTACTCCTCAAAGTATTTATTTTTGTTGTGTGCAGAACAAGAACCATGGCAAAAGATGCAATAGCCCTAATGGATCATTTGGGTTGGAGAAAAGCCCATGTTTTTGGCCATTCAATGGGTTAGTCCATGACTCTTATCTCCATTGAAATTGTTATCTTACTCTTTAAACACAAATTTGAACTCATGGATGCATAATGCTGGCTCTAGATTTTATATAATGGGTTGCATACTTATTGTTTATCATGATAATTGAGTTAATTACTTTTAGTTGTCTTATACTTTTAGTTGCATACTTATTTTATATAATCTGTTTTTATTTTGGACGAAACTAGCTCCAATGTTTAATATCTGTAGTTATATTTGTTTCCCGTGTATCTTTTGTGATTAATTTTATGATTAGTTGTATTGTAGTTGAAACACTTGCTATGTTCTAACTTCTAAGTTCTAACCAGTTGAGTGCATTAACTGCAATTTAGAATAAATGAATTGTCTATCATTAAGCAGTTCTAACATTTGGACATGAGCAATTCAAATGTACATTGCCACTTGATGTATGCATGAACATATGATTTACTAGGAAGTTATGTAACCATGGTGGTGATGGATCAGATAGCCAATTTAATATTGTCATTTCTCAGAGAGCAGAATGGATCAAGTATCTAGGAGTTTTTGCTAACATGGAAACCAGAGCAAATCAAGTCTATGATGCTGTAAGTACACAAATTATCGCATTTATTTACCACTATCTAAAGTTAATTAAGTACCATGTTTTCATGAATTAGTCAATACATGGATTTCAGATATGGTTAGATTTCAGATTTGTTTATTAGATGTTATAAATATGGTTAGATTTCTCAAGTTTACTGCTAATCGATGGATTTCAGATGGATTTCAGATTTGGTATTTATAGATGGATTTCATTTTTCTCAAGTTATAAATATGGTATTTATAGATGGATTTCAGATTTGTGGGTATTTATAGATGTTATAAATATGGTTAAATATTTACAGAATCTGTTGGTTTCAGATTCTAAGAATTTTTTAAACTGAAATGGAGTACTTGGGTTTTTTAACTACTTTCATGTTGTTGTTGCTCTGTAAAATATTCTCACTCATTATGAAAGACGTGAATATCACAAAGAGCTAAAGATGGCAATTTGAAACCGGCCCGATGGGGACCCGACCCCCCGATCCCGAATCGTGCGGGTTTTCCCCGAAAAATACCCCCGAAGGGACGGGGATGGTATTTAAAAATCAATACCCGAACAGATTTGGGCCGGGGACGGGGATAAGTATCCCAACCCCGTACCCGGCCCGACCCCGTCCCCGTTCCTCGGCCCGATTTTTTCCTAAATTAAAATTACCAATTTACCCCTAGATATATATATATAGATTCACATAGTAACCAAACCAAATCCTCATCCAGTTGTCTTCCGTCTCTCTCTCTCTACCCCCTCTACTCTCTCTCTCTCTGGCCCTGTTCACGACATCGATCATCGCCATTGTCGGCGTCGCGGCTTCGCGATCGGTCTCCTCCGTCGTTCATCGCCACTGTCGGCGTCACGATCGGCCTCCTCCGTTGTTCACAGCCACAGATCTGCCTTCTCCGCCGATCGGCCTCCTTCGTCCCTCATCGCCACTGTCGGCGTTGCGATCGGCCTCCTCTTTCTCTCTGGCCCTGTTCACGACGTCGATCATCGCCACTGTCGGCGTCGCGGCTTCGCGATCGGTCTCCTCCGTCGTTCACAGCCACAGATCGGCCTCCTCCGTCGTTCATCGCCACTGTCGGCGTCACGATCGGCCTCCTCCGTCGTTCACAGCGTCGTTCACAGCCACAGATCTACCTCCTCCGCCGATCGGCCTCCTCCGTCGCTCATCGCCACTGTCGGCGTTGCGATCGGCCTTCTCTCTCTCTCTCTCTCTGACACAGATACATAGATCTGTATGTTACATATACCGATCTATTTTTTTTGATGTTGATTCTATATGTTACATATACAAATCAGCATGTATCTCTGTGACTGGCTGGAACATTATATATATATATATATATTTGTTGTTGAAGAAAAAAAAGATAGTGAAACAGATCATGAACCATGAATCCTCGGTTGCCCTCTTTCTCTCTCTCTCTCTATATATATATATATATTTGTTGTTGAAGAACATTTTTTTTTAAGTTATATATATTTGCTATTGTTGTTGATGATTGTTGTGTGTTGAAGAACAGATCATGAACCATGAAGCCTCCATTCTACAGAATTTTTTTTTTTTTTGGTTGTGTGTTGAACAGATCTGCCGGGGATGTTTTGGGGTCGGGGAAACCCGATCCCTGTTAGGGGACGGGGGTGGGGGAGGTGAGGGGTTCCTCGTCGGGGATCGGGGACGGGGACGGGGATTTTTCTACCTTCGGGGATCGGGGACGGGGAGTGTCATCCCCGGCCCCGGCCCGGCCCGTTGTCATTCCTACAAAGAGCTTAACATTCTCTATGATTTCAAGAGCGGGGTTATCTTTTCTTTGTTTGGTTTTTGTTCTGTTATTATAACCCTGCAAGTAAACAAGGGAAGCAAGCATAGGATTAGTATCCAGAGTTTAAAGTGGATTTTCTTTGGCTGAATGGATGAGATAAAGGCTGAAATGGAGTACTTGGGTTTTTAAACTACTTTCATATTGTTGCTCTGTAAAATATTCTCACTCTCTCTATGGGAGTTTGCATTTTAAGATTAGTATCCAGAGTTTGGTAATGAGATGCGGTGTTGAAGAGAATGAAAGAGTAGAAAAAAAATGTAAGATGTTTTACCAAAGGTCCTTCACCATGCTGTTTTGTTTCAAAACAAAAACAGGACAAATTGAATCTCATAACAATAGTGCATTGTCCAAGTTTTGTACCAATATAAAAACCTCAAACATCAAATGTCACATTCACAATGAAAGGCATTATTTATCAACCAAAAAAAAAAAAAATCACACAAAGGCATTATTGTTGTTTCTGGTGCATTCTAATTCTAAACACTTATGAGTTTGCTAAATACTTTTGAAATACTGATATGAAGTTTTTTTATATTTATTGGGTTTTTTTTTGTGTTTTTCTATTGTTTTTTCTTTCTTTCTTTGGGAGTGAGGATTGGTAAGCTGTGATAAATTTTGTTTTTATTGTGGCAAGATTGGATATTTTGCTTATGGTCATGTATTGCTTAACAAATATTCCAATTTTATTTAGAATTTTCAGAAGTATTCAAAATTTTCAGTTCAAGCTTGGAAGCAAAATGAATCTGAATGGGTGATTTGGGTTTTTGGACAAAGTAAATGGGGGTTTTGGGGCTATATTGATTTGTAAATCATAGGGGAATTAAGTTAGTTAGAGTTTGTTGTTGAATTGCCAAGCAAAAAGTTTGCTTTTTGAATTTTTATTTGTGATTATATTTTTATTTTATTTGAGATAATGCAGAAGAATATGGATTAGTTTTGGATATAGATTGTATAGATTTTATTTAGATATAGATTGTATAGATTTTTTTATTTATATATAGATTTTTTACAAAGAATCTGGATATAGATTTTTTATAAATTGTATAGATTTTTTATATTATCTTTGTGA